TGTCAAGTACTCTGCCAATGTAATCGGTCAAAATGTGCGGCGCTTCCCTGCGCTGTGGGTGGCTACCGTATTATGCTTACCACTCACGGCGTCATTCGACCTGTGATTGACCCCAGCCAGGCTACCGTTGTGTAACCGCAGGCACGGCCGGGCCGGGAGCATCGGCTGACTGTGGCGGCCCGAGCCGGCCGGACGGGGCCGGTGCCAGCGGGAGCCTGACCCTCGTCCAGCGGCCAGGCATCCCGGCGCTCCCGGTGCGTCCGGATCCGACGCCGAGGCCAATGGCAGCCGGTCCAAGCATCGGGTCATCGGCACGAGCGCGGCCGTCTGTGGCAGCAGCACGAGCCGCTAACGGGACCGGCGCGAGACGCCGATAGAGATCAGACAGGTCGGCGACCGCCCGAGGCTCGGACTGCGGCCGGTGGTCACTGCAGCGGACAGGGTCACACCAGCCCCTGCCCGGGACAGGGTCACACCGCCACTACCCGGGACAGGGTCACACCAGCCCCAGCCCGGGACAGGGTCACACCAGCCCCAGCCTGTGACAGGGTCACACCAGCCCTAGCCTGTGATAGGGTTACACCAGCCCCAGCCTGTGACAGGGTCACACCGCCACTACCCAGGACAGGGTCACACCAGTCCCTTCCCGGGACAGGATCACACCAGCCCCCGCCCGGGACAGTGTCACACCAGTCCCTGCCCGGGACAGGGTCACGCAAGTCCCCGTCTGGGACAGGGCAACCCAAATCACTCCGTGGGATACGATGGCTCACTCGCCGTCTCGGACAGGGTCGTGTTAGCCACTGACAGACAGGGCCAAAGCTAATCGAGCTTGAGAGGGGTCTCGAGGGGCCTCTGTCAGTCTTCGGGGCACCTTACGGCCCTAAAACATGCATGTTTTGTGATAACGAAGCCTCGCCGACCGTTCACCAATTAAAGGGTCATTGGGGCTCAAAAGAGTTTGTACCTTTCGGGTAGGGATGGACAGGGTCACACCAGCCGCTGTCCGGGACAGGGTCACACCAGCCTCTGCCCGGGATAGGGTCACACCAGCCCATGCCCGGGGTAGGGTCATACCAGCCTCTGCCCGGGATAGGGTCACACCAGCCCATGCCCGGGGTAGGGTCATACCAGCCCCTGCCCGGTCACGGTCACACCACTACTTTCCGGGTCAGGGTCACACCGCCACTACCAGGGACAGGGTCACACCGCCCTTGCCCTGGGACAGGGTCACGCAAGCCCCCGCCTGGAACAGGGCAATCCAAATCACTCCGTGGGATACGATGGCTCACTCGCCGTCTCGGACAGGGTCGTGTTAGCCACTGACAGACAAGGTCAAAGCTAATCGGGCTTGAGAGGGGTCTCGAGGGACCTCCATCAGCCTTCGGGGCACCTTACGGCCCTAAAACACGTATGTTTTGTTACAGCAAAGCCGCACCGACTGTTCCCTAATGAGAGGGCAGAAGTAATTGTGGTTCATAATATATGAGGTACAGGACAGTCCATAGCATACATTAGGCTGCTTGATAATCCGTATGAATAGCTCCGCAGACTGCTGTTAAAGCGTGCAGACCACGTGCAGCCTCGTCCACTTGGTCCCCTCACTCGACTTGGGTTTCTGCTCAGAATAAATAGCAAAGAAACGACGCACGTTACAAATGCACACTGTCCAAATGCCTGGCTTAAATGGCCTACTGGAGGCGGACCGGTGACCATCTGACCGCCCGGTGACCGGAAGGCCGACACCAGTCATCAGACGGCCGGCGGGCACCGCCACCTATACTGGAGGCGGACCGGTGACCATCTGACCGCCCGGTGACCGGAAGGCCGACACCAGTCATCAGACGACCGGTGGGCAGCGCCACCTATACCAGTCACCTCGATCGCTGAATGTCGTCTCTCAAGTATTGACGACCTGGGAGTGGGGGTCAAGGCTGTGGTCCACCTACCCCGTTGAGGGGGAGAGATTCATTTCAGACTGTCTGCCCCCCCCCCCCCAGGGCATTGCGCCTAGGGTCCCTTGTTGACCGGTAAATGAGCAGCTGCTGGCCAAATGGGCTCCTTGTTGGTTTCTAACAACGTCCCTTGCTGTCCTGTAAGTAAAATAAGCTACTTCTGCCAAGAAAGAAACCCGCTGTGAAAAATCACTTTTCAGCTGTAAGTCAAAGGTCACTGCTGGTCTGAAAAATGGCCTGTGACGACCTATGAAGTGAAACGCTACTGGTCTGCAGTAGCCTGGACCTGATTCAACGTCGCTGCCCAGGGAGTGAAAAATCCCGGTATTCTTCGCGGATGCACCTGCCTTAAAAAAGCCGACTTCTAGCCTGATCCGGGCGCCGGCCTGGCCGCTGTGGCTGCCAGCCTGATCCGGGCGCCGGCCTGGCTGCTGCGGCTGCCGGCCTGATCCGGGCACCGGTTTGGCCGCCGCGGCTGCCAGCCTGATCCGGGCGCCGACCTGGCCGCTGCGGCTGCCAGCCTGATCCGGGCGCCGGCCTGGCTGCTGCGGCCGCCAGCCTGATCCGAGCGCCGGCCTGACCGCTGCGGCTGGCAGTGACCCCAGTCCCACGGGCCTGAGTTTAGTGAAAAGGCACGACCTTGGATTCGTGGGCATCTGCCAAATCCAATCTCATCTCAGGTAAAATATTTGTATTCGTGTGAGCACATGCGTCTATGAACATGTTTTTCTGAGCGAAATGCTCTTAGAATAAATTGCAGGTCAATGGATATTTTGCCCGAAGAACGCATCAAGGAAGATCATGGCGCACAGGGATGCAGTCAGGCCCTTGGTGCGGGACTCGGCTCATCTCGCGCGCCATTTCCTTGGCTGCGCGAGCAGCAAGGGATCGCGGCATTCCCATTTGTGAGAGCCCGCTGATTCACGTGAATAGTGTCAGTACACGAAATGCAGGGTTGCAGATCGAACCCAGTTCGGTTTATCAGGCCCCTGGCTGAAACGGGTTAGAGGACACCCAACTCGGTACTTGGGCTTTTGACCCACACAGGGCTCCTCCATTTGGGCCAAGGAAAACACAAGAGGCACTCCCACATTCATGGTGCCGCCCCTTTTCGTACTCAGCAAAAATGTCCCGGGCCAATACGGTGATAACTGTAGACCTTGGCCTAATGCCGGTTTGGATAATGGGCCGCAGGGCCGGGAGCGACGTAGAGCAGTTACTTGATATAAACTGCGCATGGCTCACATAGGTCTACAGTTATCTAAAAAAAAATCCAACTAGACTTTTGTCGTGGGTCCCAAAGGACCACATAGCCCATTGGGATCCAGGGGTTTCGGGGGGGGGGGGGGGCAAGGATGCGAGGATGTGCACCTTCCCTACCTGCATCTTACATCCCTGGCGGCATGGCTTCCCCTGTTCCAACCCAGCTCTGTCGGCCAGTTTCCAATATGCCGTCAATGATAAGTTACGTAAGTACAGGCAACGGATATGGCTCTCCAGGCCTGCCACGCAAACCAGGCGTGCAGCCAGAACCTCGGCAAGGGAGGGGGCACAGGGCTGAGAAAGGGCTCCCTGGTGGTAAAAGAACTCCGTCCAGAAAAAAAATCGCCGGATGTGGCTCAGTTGATAATAAGCACATGTGTCCTTTGATATTTGTCTTGTTTAATTTTTCGCTTTATAAATAGAATCCAAGCCAGGTGCTGCCGCCAACTAAATTCTACCTGAGTTTTATAGTCAATAAGCTGCAGGAAACCATGCGTTACATGATTGCATGAAATAAATCGCCGACGCTACCCATTTTACAATGGTTGAGCCGGTAGCGCAGGTAGGGGAGGGGGCACAGGGGGCACGTTTCTCCCCTCGGAATCTAAGGGGCCCTTTCGAATCGAAATCCGAGGGGCCCTTCGGGTCCCTCGGAACCTACGATTAAGGGCCCGATTTGAGGGCCCGAAGGAGTCCGAAAGGCCGTCCAGTTGTGTGTGTTTGTGTTCTCTGACACCTTACAAAATAGTGGGGTGATATCTCCTGACCAGAGGGTTTTCCGGGAATGATTGTCTCAAGTCCAATCGAACGCGCAAGGGCGGATCATTTGCCTGTCCAAAAGCGTCGAAAAAAAACAGATTGTCCCAAAAGAATTTCATGTATAAAAATACCACTGATCATTACAACCAATAACTACAGATTTTCACTATTCACGTTACTGCATTCCCTCATCCTAACCCAATTTTGAAGTGAAAACAGTAGTCGGAATCAGCGTGTTGAGAAGGCCCTGCACATCAAATTTGGGGGCAATCAAGACGCCTCGCAATAGCCGACTGGGGTGTTGCACGTCGGGTAACTCGGAAGTTACGCAAAATCCCACTTCAAAGACGATGATTTTCGGAATCAGCGTGTTGAGAAGGCCCTGCATGCCAAATTTGGAGCCAATTGAGACGTCCCTCAAAATCTAGCTGGGGTGTCACGGGTCGTATGACTCGGAAGTTACGCAAAATGCCACCCCAAAGACAATGATTTTTGGAGCCGGGGTGTTGAGAAGGCCCTGTGCACCAAATCTGGAGGCAATCGAAACGCTCCGCAGCGTCGACCTGGCGATGTTACACGCCTTGTAACTCGGAAGTTACGCTTAATCCCACCCCCAAGACGGTGATTCTCGGAATCAGCTTGTGGCGAAGGTCGTGCACACCAAATTTTGAGGCGATCGTGACGCCCCGGATATCCAACTGGTACAGTTGGATGTTGGATATCAATCTGCTGCTAGATTGCGTGCCTGTATCTGTCTGAAGTAGGGCAGCGAGGAGTGCGTTAGACGGCCTTGAGTGCGAGTATCGAGTTTGTGTCTTTGAGTGGGATAGATCTTGAAGGTTCAACAGAGTTGATTACATCCAGAGCGAGCGCCATGTGGAGTACATAGGGTCCACATCGAGCATGGCTTAACCGTGTCGACTCTGAACGAGTCTGAAAACTGTTTGCACGTGATTTTGCAGTGCCTGTGGCTAGTGCGTTTGCAAGTTAGTAGGTAGGCACACACTTTTTATGCATGCATACACAAATGCAAACTGCACATACTGTAATGCACTGCCCACACTAACTTATATGGAGTGTTTCTCATTCAAAGATATTGCTGTCTTGTGGTATAGTATGTGCAGATTGTGCTGGAAATTGATCCCATTACATTGACTTGCAGATATGCACCCTAGGTCTAAAAATCCACTTTCCTGAAACAGCAGTACACAGGTTGTACTTGGGGTATTCGTCAAGCAACCATATGCATACTGGCCTTGGTATTTTGCAGAACTTGTGTGTTATTAAGCCCGCAATATACTTCTCTTATTAAGCCCACAATATCTTCATGCATAGTTGCAGAGAAGCCATGTGTTTGGCAATGCTAAAAGGATGCTGGTGTACCACCCAGCTGAATGACAGATGACTGAAAACCCAGCTGAAGTAATAAAGTAGACAAGAAATCAAATGAACTAGTACAAAGTAAGCAAATGTATTTGGTATAGCAAAAATTGCATTAAACAAATATGATCAAATGGATGCTGATAGAAATCATTTTTGCTGCACCATTCTGCACCATTGGAATGATGCAGTTCTGGTTGATTGTCCCCAGCAATGCCAGGGTGCATTGGTTTGGGAATGGTGATTATGTGTTTGCATCCATATTTTGATTACCATTTAATGGCTAGATATGATTGTGCTTGTGGGTGAGTACTGGTATTGATGTTTTCTTTCATTTTGAGATGCATTACATGATAGTTTCATGTCAGAGATTGGTGCACCTCCCAGAATTATAGCAGCTTCAAGTGATAGCTTTGTGCTATGAATGAAAGAGTTGAAGCTTTCGTGATTGCAGTGCAAAAATTGAGCCTTAATGGCATATTTTTGATTTTGTTTCTGGAACAGTGGGGCATTTTCCACATCTGTCAGTTGGTGCCAGGAGTTGTGTAAGCAGTAGAAAGGCAAAGGAAAAGGTGCTGATTCCTAGCCATGCCAGTTATTTTGTCAACAAGTCCCATCCTGATAAATGTTGTGGAATAGTGCTGAACTCATGCATGCTGCGATGGGATCTGGTCATGAAGAGTTGGCATTACGTATGGTTCATATCAAACTCCAAGGCTGTTTGCTCCTGTTTTGGTGACTGTGTGACATTCAATTTCTGTCAGTTTTTGTGTGTAATTATGGAAATGCTCATTTTTAGGCATTGCTTGGATATTGGAATCACAGCTATGAATAGCTGCATGATTCAATAACTCATCTTTTTACAGATTTTGTCATGTCAGCTGGTGCAACATCCTGCCAGGAAGAGCAGCTAGGACTCAATGAGGATACAAATCAGACACATGCAACTAATTCTCATACATCACCTGAATCTAAACCAGATCTTAGCTCCCGAGAAACAGTAGACCCACAAGGGCACAAGCATGCATCAATACCAGCTACCTGTTTACCAGCTGTCCAAGATGTTGCTGCTGCCTCTTCAGAGAGTGCATCCTGCAGTGTGGGAGACATGCTTGCCTCAATCTCATATGCCTCTGAAAATCATTCAGAAGAAGTGCTGGCACACAACACTGCTGTGGCGCCGCCTGCTGCAGCTGTCTCTACCTCTGCCTCACCCCCGTCTGCCCCTCAGCCGGCCTGCGTGCCTCGGTCCGACCTCGCTCCGCCCGCTCCCGAGTCCCCCTCACAACGGTCCGCGGTTGACGATCAGCCGGCGCCGCCGCCGTGCGCGGCCGGGGAGCTGGCCGCCGGCCGCGGCTCTCCCACCGAGGAGGCCGAGCGCGTGCACCTGCCGGCCGTCGAGGGCGCCGGCTCTGCTACCACCGCCGCCACCTCGGCTGCGGCGGCCGCCACGCACGTCTCGGACGCGGCGCACCACATCAAGTGGGTCAAGTTCCACGGTGTGCGCTCGCCCGTCATCACGCAAAACGTGAACGGCCCATGCCCGCTGCTGGCGCTCATCAACGTCATGCTGTTGAAAGGCAAGGTGCAGCTGCCGCCGGCGCTTGACGTCATCACCATCGGCCAGCTGATGGACTACGTGGGCGACGCCATGCTGGATACGATGCCGACCGACCTGGCGGCGCAGACGCAGCCCGACTTCGAACAGAACATGCAAGACGCGGTAGTTATTCTGCCGAAGCTGCAGACAGGTCTGGACGTCAACGTCAAGTTTTGCGGGTGAGTCCGTGCCGTGGTGAGTCAGTCGGTGCCGGCCTGTATGACCAGCAGACGTGTGACCAGCACCCCGGGGGTGGGCAGCCACCATCCCCACGCCAGCAGGCTTCGCCACCTCGCGTGGATATGATCGCGGGTAATTTGCCTTTTTGTGTCATTTTTGTGGGGGAGACCATTTTTGTCTGCAAGCTTGCACTTTTATTCAGCTGTTATTTCACCTGGGTACATGAACATCCTGAGTAAAGCTTTGCATTGTCGTGCTTGAGTTGTGCTAGTATAATTACGTGCCACTTACTGTTTCTGCATGTTTTTCGTGGAGCGCATTTAGCACCTTAGTCTGTACCACACAGTCTAGTGTGCAGTTGAAGCTTCCTTCCATCCTGAACTGAGGCGCACCGACTGACCACCCGTGGTCCTGGCCTGCAGCGTTCAGGAGTTTGAGTACACTTCCGAGTGCTGCATATTTGACCTGCTGAACGTGCGGCTGTACCACGGCTGGCTGGTGGAGCCCGGCCTGCCCGACCTGTGCCGCGCCGTCGGCCAGTGTGGCTACAACCAGCTCGTCGACAAGATCATCACCAACAAGTCCTCGGACGACCCCACGCTGGCGCACGACGGTGAGCGGTCTGCGGAAGCGTCGTTCAGCGCCGAGGTGGCCTGGGCAGGCGGGCGTGGAGTCGTCGTCTTGCCCGGGGCAGAACTCTGCCTGTCTGGCCATAGAGGAAGCGTTTTATGCTTTTGTCGTTACCTCTTTGTTGACATGAAGCTGCCAAAGCAGTGGTGTCGTGTGTCCTTTCATGTTGTCTCTGTGCGTTCGGCATGGCTTGTCCGCCCGTCGGTGCCCGGCCGGTCGCGTCTGGTGATGCCGCTGTTGGTGTGCCGCGCAGCCCTGCTGGCCGAGACGTTCCTGGAGACGACGGCGTCGCAGCTGACCACGCACGGCCTGGCGCAACTCACCAGCACCATGCGCGACGGCGAGCTGGCCGTCTTCTTCAGGAACAACCACTTCAGCACCGTCTACAAGTGTCAGGTGGGCCGGCAGCGCGCCGCCGACCACCGGCTGGGTTTTAAGGCAGACGGTCGGGTGGACCCGACCGATTCATCGCCTTCTTGCTGGACGTTATGCGTGAGGCATCAATTCAAGCACCGACGAAATTCAATCCCTTCTGGCACAACCCTGTGTTGCATGACATGATTGGGCGCCACAGAGCCACTCCGACACCGGTCTGGTGCCATGCAGGACCAGCTGTACCTGCTGGTGACAGACCAGGGCTTCCTGCGCGAGCCGCGTGTCGTCTGGGAGACGCTCAACTCGACCGACGGCGCCGGACAGTTCGTGAATGGCCAGTTCGAGCCACTGGCTGCCGAGCCACCGCCGCCGCCGCCGCCCGGCGCCGAGCAGGTGGACCGCGAGTGAGTGGGGGTCGGCGCCAGCCCGGCGCTGCTGGGCGGCGGCAATGGGTCGTGCTAGAGTTAGAGTGGAGCTCGTGCGACGCGCCAGGTGGCGGCGGTCCCGTCGGGCCGGGCAGTGCACCTCTCAGTGCGCTCGTATGGCGAGTTGTGACATTGCAGTCTGTTTGCCTGAGCGTGCGTGGCGACGCCACCGCATACATGTTTGTGGAGCTGTGCTACGAAAACAGCTGGGCCCATAATGCAAGGCATGCTCGTGTACGCACAGGCTTCCTGTGGTTAGCATGCTGCCTTCTGCGATCCGATGTATGGAGCGCAGTCCGCCGTGCAATATACGAGCATTGTCCCACTGGCCCAGCGCTCGTTAAGGCAGTGGACTTCGTTCCCAGCCCTGACTGATGCACACGCCGCTCACCGACCGCCGCCATCCCCAGCCCTGAGCGGTGTAGACGCCGCTCACCGACCGCCGCCGTCCCCAGCCCTGAGCGGTGTAGACGCCACTCACCGACGCCTTCGTTCCCAGCCCTGACCGGTGTAGACGCCGCTCACCGACCGCCGCCGTCCCCAGCCCTGACTGATGTACACGCCGCTCACCGACCGCCGCCGTCCCCAGCCCTGACCGGTGTAGACGCCGCTCACCAACGCCCTCGTTCCCAGCCCTGACCGGCGTAGACGCCGCTCACCGACGCCCTCGTCCCCAGTCCTGAGCGGTGTAGACGCCGCTCACCGACGCCCTCGTTCCCAACCCTGACCGATGTAGACACCGCTCACCGACGCCCTCGTTCCCAGCCCTGACCGGTGTAGACGCCGCTCACCGACGCCCTCGTTCCCAGCCCTGACCGGTGTAGACGCCGCTCACCAACGCCCTCGTTCCCAGCCCTGACCGGTGTAGACGCCGCTCACCGACGCCCTCGTTCCCAACCCTGACCGGTGTAGACGCCGCTCACCGACGCTCTCGTTCCCAGCCCTGACCGGTGTAGACGCCGCTCACCGACCGCCCTCGTTTCCAGCTACCTTGTGGCGCTGACGCTGCAGGAGGAGAGTTCGCGGCAGCAGGCGCATGACATGCAGTGGGAGGAGTACAAGCAGGCCGAGTTCGGCAACGTCGACACGCTAACCGAGTAGGTGCTGGATGCCGGAGGCTGTCTGACTCTATATGCTGTTTGCTTAGGGGCGTCTGTCTCTGCCTCTGTCTCCGTCCGTCCGTCTGTCTTTTTGTCTGTCCCGTTTTGCGTTGTGTCGTGACCGGGCTGAACGGCGGCTCGCTAAATGGTTAGATTTGGCTACGATCGGCGTGCGCACCGGACAACAAGCAGTGACAAGCTTGGCGGGGCTACAGCCGGTAGGCAGCGTGTGGTACGTGCTACAAAAGTCAACTGTTGACCTATTGGTTTTGCACGGGCGGCGGCAAAATGTGGACTGTACGAAACAGTCAAGCAGGGATTACTGAGCGCGTATCGCGGTAGGCACAGGCCTGATGTCTGACGTCACCTGGCGACGCAAGATGACGCCAATAATTATTGGACATCCCGGGCCCGGACCGTGGCAAAGTTAACATCACCGCGCCGCATCGAGCCATTCCCTCTGTTTGCCCCCCTTCTATCTGATATTTCCTGGCAGCCAGCGCCGGCGAGCATTGGACTAGCAAACTGAAGGAGCGTTGAGGCGCCGTGTGTTGCCGGTGGCCGGCGGCAGCCATCAGACTGTAATCCATTCCTTCGTTGCGGCGAAAAACATCGGCCACAGTGACGATTGAGGACTTGACTTGAACCCTTGCTTTGAGAAATAATAGAGAAACGACTCATATCGAGCGAAAATTAATTTGCAAAGGGTGCGATGAAAGGATTGGCGAAAGGCAGCTACTGCTTAGCGAAACCCTCTGTCGAGGCATACCGGCCCGGCCCAGTGGCTGGCCGGTTGTGTTTTGGAGTCGCTGCGGGGTGTGACAACACAGAAGCATTGCAGTGTTATGGAGAGATGACGGTGGATGGCATAGCGAGAGATCTGGCATTTGCGGTGGCAACAAGAACGACTTCCTTGAAGCTTTTAGAATGTGTAGCAACACTTCAGCCACAGCGTAAATTTGAGGAGGATTGGAAAGCCTGAAAGCTTTTTTGATCTTGGCAAGCGGGCTGTCGGCTAATTACATCACAGTGGCTCGAATCATTCTTTCGAATAATTGCACTGCATTGGTGTGCTTTTTCGGCTTCTACACATGACTTTATGGCTAGAAGTCGGTAGGCGCTATGGCGGCGTATATCTCGGTATCTTATTAACGATATCGAAATGAGTTTACGACTGCTTCTGGAGACCAATCGTTGTTCAGGCATATGCAACGACGACATCCGAGCACGCACATGCTTGTACCAAGGGGAGGGGGCGGGTGGTCAACGGCCAGTTTCCGTCAGGGTCTTAGGCGATTCACTCCATATTGCTGCATAAAAAGTGGCTCCCAGATGAGGTTAGGCTGTCATGACCCGCCCACGTCATGGTCGTCATCACATCACACCTGCTCCCGTCAGATAGCCCGGCGCCCGCAGGCCGGATCGCCCCCCAAAGATCCTTTGAGGGATGATCCAGCTGCAACGCAAACACGGTGCGGATGACGGCGCCGTCGCCTAGCGAAGCAAGGCCGCAATCGCTTCCACATTGCCAGTCTGTCAGGCTGGCCGACTATAAGGTGTAGGCCGAGGCGGTCCAGCCATTATGCGGTGTAGGCCGAGACGGTCCAGCCATTATACGGCGTAGGCCGGGACGGTCCAGCTATTAAAAGGTATAGGTCGAAACGATCCAGTCATTGCAATGTGTAGGCAAGGACGGTCCAGCCTGTCCGTGGCTCACGCATACATGAGCGATACATTGCAAGGCAGTCGTGCTCGTGACGTTTCAGCTAGTTAATGTTCATATGATTAAATAAGGCGACCTACTGTGGCGAGGACTTGGTTGAAACAACGCGATACAAAGGAGGGTTTGAGTCGCCCGATGTGGATTCGTGACTAAAACAAAACATGGGCTTGGCTCATTGTTTGTAGTGTGTGTTGATGTCACTTGACACACATATTGCGGACATATAACGTACATGCAGTGTCCCCAAACATGTACCTCGCTTATTTGGCTGTAACCTCTTCAAGTGGTGGATATCATTGTAAATAAATGTGTCGGCCAAGAGCGGGTATCGCAGGATTCGGGTCCATGAGCGCGGCCCCGTCTTGGCACGTGGTGGCGGCCGTCTGACGTGGCGCGCCTCGCTCCGCTGGCTGTGGACACGGGCCCACCGCGGGCGTGGTCCTGTGGCTGACGTCACAATCAAAATATGACGTCATTGGCCGTGGTGTGACGTCAGATCGTGTGTCGCCAGCGCTGAACTGGCGCGCAAGCTGCAGGACGAAGAGGAACGGGGGGCGAGGGAGCAGCAGCAGCAGCAGCAGCAGACGCAGCAGACGCAACAACAGCAGACACAGCAGCAACAGCAGCAGCAACGGCAGGCCCGGGTGGAAGGCACCAGCAGATCAGAGAGCAAGAAGAAAACCGTGAGTGGCACGCGCTCACAGGACCGGCGTTGAGCAGTGGTGCCGTCATTGCCGTTAATGTGTATGGTGACGATTTGCAGGTGTGCGTTGGTGCTTCGTGAATGATATGCCCGCGGGTATCGGTACCGACGACTCGCACTTCTGGGGTGGATGTGTGACTTCAAGGCATAGACCATTGCCGCCCATTTTCAAGTACACTGAAATTCATAGTGGAGGGAATATTTGGCGTTTGAGTTCGGCTGAAGAAATTCCCCCTGCGCACTGCCCCTCTGGTTAAGAGAACCTCAATGACCTTGAACTTTCCTTTGATAAATAATTTCAAAAACCGTGTACAGTGTGCGGCTTCACCACTGTTAGTTTTAGGTAGCTCGAGAACGAACTCGAAAACCCGGCGTTGATAGTGACGGTTTCTGGTGCTTGCCGTTCATGTGTTCTACTGACAGCGTGTTCTCGTACAAGTGCTAGTGCCTTACGTCTCGCGCGCTGCCGCTGAAGGGCGCCGCGGCCAGCCCGACCGACCCTGAATCCGTGAGCCCTGACACGAACGAGACCGTGACACGACAGATGTGACACAATTGTGACCCGACCGTGATACGACAGAGACTGTGACACGACCGTGACACGACTGTGACCCGACCGTGATACGACAGAGACTGTGACACGACCGTGATACGACAGAGACTGACACGACCGCGATACGACAGAGACCGTGACACATCCGTGTCCCTGTTGCAGTGCAGCGTCATGTAGCAGCAGCGGAGGCCGGCTCGGTGTCGGCGGCCGCCCCTGCTCCCTCTCCCTCCCCTCCCACCGGCTCGCCGCCACCGCGACGGCCGCCCATCCGGCCGGCTTCGACCCGGCTTGTTTGCGCTTCAAAGCGGCGTGCGGCCTGGCGGGCGGGCGCGCGCCCCGGTGAAGCCTTGGCCGCCGGCATGGCGGGCGGGCGCGCGCCCCGGCGACGCCTTGGCCGCGGCCCCGGCGGGATTTACGGGCGTCGGCCGACGGCCCGGCCGCGCCATGACGCCGGCCGCCGCAGCCAGCGGCACCGCGCGCGTCTTTTATACAGATATCAGCACCGTTTATTTTGTTTAAGATATTTTGCGCGCCGCGCTGACCAGACAGGCTCGGCCGCGCCCTCGGGACAACCAAAGAGGCGTCCGAACGGACGGACTGGCGAGCGGCGCACCAAGCAGTCCTGTGATAGCGGCCATGTTGGCTCCCGGGCGGCGGTGGGGCGCCCAGGGCTCGGCCGCACAGCCTTCGACTACGCAAACTTTGTGGAAATACATATTCGTCACGTGTTTTATTTGGGGGCTGTGTGTGGAGTAGCTTGGTGTGAACGTCCGCAGCGGTCCTGGAATGTTGGACTTTGGCCAAACAGTTGGCACCGGAATACTCAACACGTTCGCGTCTGCCTATTCTTGGAGCCATTGCGGATCGATGACGCAGAGCTCTTAGTAGTGGGGACGGCCCAGGACCTTTAGGATGGGGCAGCAGTGGAATATTCAGTGTGTTCATCGAAGCACGTCGATGGATTTGCGTAAATGGGATCAATCAATCTGTTGGTTAATATGGATCAAAAAGTAAATCATCGTGAACAATTGGTCGGTGGGTTGCAAATCCGGTTTTCAGCTTTAGCCACAAGCCAGAAGTTTTGTTCCCACTTGCTGGGGGACCGTGTCTTATTTCGGACACACCTGGATGTCTTTTTAGCTGTCTCTGGGCCGGCTGCAGTCTCAGTTCTCAGGTTGCGTCGGACCCTTCAGTTTCCGGGACTGTAATCAAATAAAGCATTAGGCAAGAGTTGATTTGGACCAGTATGGGGCACGGACATGTGTCCCATGTCAGAATAAGTTGGACTCTGCCGCCGGCACTGGCTGGACCGGCGGGCGTCGCACCCCACTGCCGGATTGGGCCGCTCCGGTCCGCCGCTCTCAGCGCTGAGCCCTTCATCTCTGACGCGCACGGGGCTGGGAGTCGCATGCAGTCGCCGTAACTAGCTGGCACCGAGTCGTGCGGGCGGCCCTCGGCGGAACCCGACACCGAGTCGTGCGGGCAGCCCTCGGCGGAAGTCTGACACCGAGTCGTGCAGGCGGCCCTCGGCGGAATCCGACACGGAGTCGTGCGGGCAGCCCTCGGCGGAATCTGACAATTCAAATACACAACAGTACTGTTATATTGGAAACACTACCCGAAGCGGCAAGATGGTTTCAATGGTAGAATGGACATCAATGGGTGAATGGAGACGCATCGTACGAACAGCAGCGAGGGTCGCGATGGCAGCCGTTCTCACACCAAAACTACTACAACCATAGATCACGACGGTCGCGAGAACGCCGACAGAAAATGCCGCCGGCCTAAATTTGGTAAAGACTGGCCACAGCTCGGACGTGCGTAGCTATTCACAGCACTAGTAGCCATTCACGGACAATTTCACCCGCGCGCAATCAATACACTCGGCACTAGCTTAACGCGCACAGGGAAACGCCTATGGCCCTTACAGAAATGCCCGGGCTCAAGCTAAGCACATCAAGAGAAAACTGGCTAATACGTGACTGGGAAGTCATGTCTTGGACACTGGGACATTGTTAGCATTCTGATTTTATCGGAAACGTACGCTAAGTGTGGTTTAACTCTTTAAAAACCACAATCGCACTGGTCTTTCACGGGTTACCTCTAGAACGATACCAGAGTTTTAGTTTTCTATAAACGCAGAACAAAAGAAAACTTATCGACAAATTCCACAGGCTGGTGCAGCTGGCGTAGCAACGGTGAACAAAATGCGCTCTCGGTGAGAAAATCGCAATACCGGGCAGTCCAGCAGTCATGCGCCCCGGGGTAAGTCATAATGTTAGGGACTGTCACTAATGCACACATACCAAGTGTCACAGTTTTCGTGGAAGCCTACACACGTATGCGCTTCGAAAGTCGAAACCCGGGCAACCGATCACTATCATTTGCACGTATGTTCAGGAATGAGATTAAACTCCAGTGGCATTCTGACGTTGACACTGCCGTTTTCGAGCACAAGATTCTGAGCACGAGATTCTGAGATTGAGAGATTGAGATTGAGACAGGAGATTGGGCATGAGATTCTGAGGAAACATGGCGAAAAGGGCGTCAATCTTAAACAGAGGCGACTGCACCGAATAACGCTTAAGTGAGACCGAGTCAGCGCAAAAGACCCAGGATGTTCACCACACATCCATCGACACCCATCACGTCCGGCGCGGCGTCTCGTGGGCCCGAGCGGCCCCAGCCGCCCGTGCCGGCGACGCCGTCAGCCGCCCTCCCCGCGCTCTAGTCGGTGGCGGCCTTGCGGACGAACTGGGTGAGCGAGGTGAAGTCGGTGGGTTCATCGTTGGCCGGCGCCAGGCGCGAGAACTCGATCTCCTCTGACTGGCTGTCGGCCGCGTGACCTGCAGCCGAGGCCGAGGCCGCCGGCCAGCGCTTGTGCGACGGCGCGTACAGGCAGATGACGGCCATCGTGTAGACGTTCCACATGCCGTACACGCCGGTCAAGATGGCCGACGTGTACTCGAGCGAGATGTCCCTGTCCCATTTCCAGGAGCCCTCGGCCACCTGGCCCAGGATGAACCCGATCACTGTCATGGCGGCGCAGGCCAGCGTAGCTAGCATCAGGAACTTGAAGCGGTAGATGATACCCTCGTAGTGAAGCCGGCGCACCGACGACATGGCCGGCAGCGCCTGGCGCTTGATGCTGATGTTGCAGAACACACGCCAGATCATCCAGCAGAGGAAGCAGAAGTAGAGGCCGGCCGACACGCCGGCCATGACGATGAAGCTGAGCGCCAAGTTGGTACCCACCTTGGTGCCCCAGATCGAATAGAACGGGTTGGTCAGCTGTACGCCGCGCTCGCACATGTCGAAGATGAAGAGGGAGAGGCAGCCGCAGGCGACGGCCGACAGGTGCTTCCAGTAGGCGGCCAGACGGTTGCGGTCGCAGTCGTCCGACACCAGCAGGTGTTCACCGGCGAACACCAGCCAGAACGAGAGCAGCACCGCGTAGAACACGCCCTGCCGGATGTCGGTGATGAGCAGCATGTACGGCATGTCGAACCGCAGCGTCAGGAACTCCAGCGGTAGGTTGAGTACGCTCAGCGCCACGCCTAGCGTCAGCAAGAGGCATTCAATGAGCGCCGGCTCGCGCGGCACCGCCTGCACGCGCCGCCAGAACCAGATCAGCAGCAGCACCACCAGCGGGAAAAAGGCCGTCTTCATGGCTACCCACACCTTGGTGAAGCCGCCGTTCTGGAAGATGGCCACCAAGTGGACGTCGACCAGCTTGCCAATGTCGGCGTTACGGCCGGTATACACGTCGGTGGGCATGCGCAGATTGAGCAGGTAGTAGTCGTGGTGCAGCGAGCCCAGCTCGAAGAGCGGCACCAGCTGGCAGCTGTACTGGTACTTGTGCTCCGGATCCAGCTCGCAGTCCAGGTGGCGCTCCTCCACCGAAGCAGCCAGCTCGCTCCAGTCCTCCGTCTTGTCGCCCTTGTTCTTATAACCGAGGCGCACGTCCAGCGTGAGCGTGGCGTTGGGGGCCGGCTCATACCGGACGTCGTGAGCTATGTCCAGCTGCAGCACGCCTATGAGGTTCTGCTGCCAGCGCGTGAAGTCCAGCATCTGGCCCTTGCGCAGAGGCATCTGGAAGGCGAACACCACCTGTTCGGACGAGATGCCTGTGCCCATCAGCTCCTCGATGGAGTCGACCTTCTCGCAGCGCTTATGCTGGGATGGGATGCCCCAGACTTGGAACCAGCGGTGCGGCTGCTGGTCGCGGTCGATGCACTTGGTACCCAACACGCTCTGCGAGGTGGACGGCGCTGGCGCCAGCAGGCCGCCCAGCAGGAAACAGAGCAGCAGCGGCAGCAGCAGCGCCACGCACAGCGTCGCCAGCTTGCGGCCGCTTACGTTCTCGATCACGGCACCCACCATGGCTGCTGATGTGGGGAGCAGCCGAAGAAACAGGCCAAAGCTGGTCGGTGGTGACGCTCAGGGGTTGCTGGAAATGTGTCAAGCAATCTGGAAGAAAACAACAGTGATAACCAATATCATCAAATAACCAATATTCCAAACTTCTATCACATGCAAACACTGGATAATTCACGAAATCCCATCTCCTATTAGAAACACACATTAATTAGTAAATGCCTGCTGATAAACTTACCAGTTGTCTGCACCAATTACCTTATATACCTACACTCTTAGCACTCCCATCTCCTTGTATTTGCATTCCTGATTATCTACCTCCTCCTGATACACTTGCCTTACCTGATGTGACCTGCCCCTTGATACTGATGTGAGGTCTGTTGCATGGCTTCATACCTGGCCTATATACATTTCAAATTTCTAAAACTGCTATCAATAATTTTTTAAGATCCCCTCTGCCATTTCTTTTTCTTTTTCTTTTGCCCTTTTAACCCTTAGCCAAAAGCCTTTGTCTGGGTTATCATCCATCCTTACCATATTCTGAATCTAAGTTATGAGTCCTAGGGACTTTGAGTACATGATCCTTTTATGTTGCTTTTATAGAGAAAGCTAAGTTTGCCAGAGACAATTTTTACAAGGGAGAAGATGGGCATATGCTTTCCAAGCACAGCATGAGGGTTGAGTGACCATCAGTTATACAAACTATAATTCATGTGAAATTTGCAACTGTCAACTGCTGTAGTCAGCTGGTTAAAAATGATATTTAGTAAAAAGGCTGAGCTCCATCTAGCCTGGACTAGTCCCAGCTATTTTGTTTCCCCTTTTTTGTATCTGATTGACAGCTTTATATTTGAAGGAGAAAGCTTTCAGGTTTTTCATGCTTAAGTCTAGAGCCTGGCCTAATGCCTGGATGCTTAGGTCTTGGCTAAATTTGACTTAAGGTGATAGCAGCCATGTATGAGTCAATAAAATGGAAGCCTCACATCTCAAACTTCATTATCCATGGAAGCAAAAATTAGCATTGACCTTAGCTCCAGGCACATAGCCAAAATATTCCTCATTGGGGACAAGGATCATACTTTTCCCAAAAACCTGTCAATTTAAGCAGAACTCTTGAGAAATTGTGCCTTATCTAGTGCAAACACCTTAGCTCCGGGGACTTGACCCCAAATAGCCGTTCTCCTGGCTACATCCCTGCCTAGCTCCCCAAAGCCATGGGTCTGTATGTGAGCTGAAGCCTGGCAGGACTCAGATCTATCTATAATACTCAGTTACCTAGTTGCTTTTCTCTCCTTAATTTGCCTCTTCATGATTTCATTCAGATTTTACATGTCATGACTAATTGAGAGGTAAATGCCATTACAATGTAGCTTCTAGATATTTCAACACATTTCATAAATGTTTATAATTGCTTGAACACAAATTGCAAGTGCCTTATGCCAAAGTCCTGAGATATTGCTTAAGGTCTGCAGCATGCAACTAATAGTTCTGTCAATGATCTCAGATCTGGGATGCCCAGGGATGCAGATGATGCAAGCAGTATTTCATGAACTCTTACCACAGTGTTCAATATTCCAACATCTCTTCAGCTTAAAATGTCATCTCATACAAGGCTATTTATGTACCAGCTCACCTCATATAGCTCCACAAGCAACATAACCTTTCAAACATACCTGTGCTACTCCTACACAGATTATACACTATGTGATCATGAGCATCAGTCCCACCCAACCATTCTTCCCAGACCAATCAAAACTGGCAGGTTTGATTGGTCTGGGCTTCTGACTAGCAAAAACATGCACACACCAAATCTGGTGTCTTATGGCTTTCAAAGTAAGATTACCACAACCTATAAGAAAGAACCAGCCTTAAATCTTTTGTTGGTAGCACAAACACAGAACATAGTTACAGTATACATTGGTACCTAATGTTAAAAAAGAACATTTTATATAAATAATCATTTTTAAGGCAGAACATATCATAAATAATCATAACACAGGCGCCGGCGTCGCGGCTGCTGTGTGTGTGTGCGGCGCTCGGGAGCTCGCCATCGTAATAATAAAAAAATTCGAAGATAAGAGCATGAATCTACCTGTTTTGTGATAATTTACGATATGTCCTGCCTTAAACACGACGAATGGTGTACAATGATTTTTTCTAACGTTAGGTAGGAAAGTACACCCTGACCGTTGGGCAGCATTTTTTATAAACGGTCTTAGCCATAGGCTATACCCTACATGACGTTTTGTCACAGATGACCACAGGCATGCACGGTCACACTTACATACCCGCGCAGGCTAACAGGATATCGACATCCAGATATATAAAGGCCAATTACAGTTACATGCCCTCCCGTCTCATATAAGAAACAAAACACTCGCCGGGCGCCGGCCACCGGTGATTGACCCCGACCAGCGAGCGACAGAATGAAAGGAGTGGGGTCCCCGGCGTGATTCAGGACGGGTCAAAACAACAGCGAATATTGCGTGCGTCCGAAGCTACCAACTGACGGAAAAGTTATGTTTTTCCACCAATCATATGTTGTGAATGCCTTCTTTGTCCAATCACGAGGCGAATCTCAAATACCTATCGCGTCACACTTGTAAGGCATACACCATACATGAAGACAAAGATATGGTAGCAATATGGCACAGTAAGAAAAGGAAGTACGGCGCCCGGGAGAGAGATCAACCTATCAAAGCAAAATCTCATGTGTTTTCCCATGCCGCCCCCCTCTCTGGAGTGACCACCAAGCTTATTTAGGATGAACCGGCGTTTGAGCGGGATAAGCTAGGGAGCCCCGCTTTCCTCTCTCGGCGAATGGCGTAAGACGGAGCCACTAAAAAAGGTCGGTCCTCCGCAAATGGCCAGTATTTAGTAATACTAGATACTAAGTTTGTATGCCAAGACGCCGCCAGCTAGCACTTGTGGGTTTGGGCAGCGCTGGGACAGTGTATCACCAGGCGATGTCGAGTCTTCACCTGCACCGGGACATGGCGACATAATTTCATTGATCAGGGTCATATTTAGGAAAGACTAGGTCGAAGACTTAGTTACTTACTTACTTTTTCCTCTTCAAATGGCCGCCAGCTATTCCATCGTCATTGGGGCTTTACGACGCACTCAGCTGCTGAGGCTGTATGGCCCCGCCTGTCTCTCAACCTGGCAGGAAGGGCGGGCCCCGCGGGGAATCGAACCCCCTACCCTTTCCAGAGACGCCATTACATAGAGGGAATTCCTCTCGATTTTTTTGAAAACAAACGGTATTACCTAACTCCACGGCATATGACAACGTACCAGAGCCAAGCGCCAAAGCACGTGCCACGCACTTTCCTACCAGACGATTCCGTACTACAACATTTGACACTCAACTGTTTGTGAAAATGCGAGTTCTATGTGTCCTTCGATCACTGTTTCGTGCTAAATTGATTCCAAAATGTCACGTCTAGATATTAGACAATTCTTAAGCAGGAGATTAAAGCTCGGAGTTCGTGGTCGATGCCGAAGTCCCCGTGCATTACTCCTGTGAGAACGCCTAGCCTTGGAGGCTCCCCACACGACCCACACAAGCGGCCAGGCCCTGGCTGGGCTCGGCCGAGCGGCCGCGGTTCAAACCGGACTTAACTGCAGGCGGTCGCCCGGGCTGGCGGTTACGACGACGCTGGAGCCGAGGTCCGCCACCAGGCGGCGTGGAACGGCAAATCACAAGTCCCAGGTAGCGGGGCCGGATTATGCGCATACGCGAAGGGGTCAACGACCCGAACTAGGGCAAGCACAACGTAAACCTTGCACGTCTCCAAACGAATAAACTTGCTGCATTGTGCGCTGCGCCCGCCGCAACGGTCTGAGCCGGACATGCGACGTCATGGGTGGGACATCACAGCGGATTCATATGTTTGATATTACAGTGCATTATAAGCACCTGGAGATTTGCTGCGTACTCGCACCCACCGTTTTACGATGAATATGCCGGCAAAATAAATGAGCCGCCGTGGTCGTCCTAGATATATTGGCTTCGGTGAAAACACTTACAGATAATTACATACAAAAATACAGCAATGCCCACCCCATACACAATATACAACTCTCTGCACCTGTTGCCAGCGACATTTTGACACCAACGGTGCGTCTCCAGCGCACGAGGGAATGATCAAAACTTCAGATCCTTGATGGCGGCTGGCAGGTCCGGTAGCTTGATGTCCTTGATTTGCTGTGTAATGTTGATGTTCTTCACCACCGAGACAGCCCGGGCCGGCGCCGCCGCCAATCCTCCCTGAGAACCGCGGCACAGATTCTAGCTACCGCCGCTCGGGACATTATGGGCGACAATCAAATGATTGGTGAGTTCGTGCAAACGCAACACGCTCAGCTCATCGAGTACTTTAAGTCAAAAGGCAAACGTGGAAAACGATTACCACTTCCTTTCTAACATTCGGCATCAAATATCCAAGTTCTCCGACTACTCCATCCAGAACCGAATACAAGACGTATTTTAGACAAGAAAGTCGTACAAGTTCCTGGGTATATGGCGGTATCAGTTGAAAGGTCTCATGTTGGACTACCGACCTACAGTAAACCACAAGGTACTGGTTTAATGATGTTGCAATGCTTAGTAGCCAGAGCAGTTTTAAATACCGAATATCGTCGTCCTAATACCGAAATATCGAATATCGAAATATCGTCAATAAAATCCTTATTTAGCATTACAACATCCTTTAATCAGCACCTCCTGGTAAAATAAAGGTCGTAAACCACGCATAAAGGCTTTCAGCCCGACGCGCAGAAGTAAAGCTGGCACAATGTCTGAGCCATTCGTAAACATCTTTGGCATAATCCGAACTGGGTTGTCACAACAGTGCAGACGGAGTAAGCTGTGGCATCAGGACAAGCGCGACCAGTCAGCCGCAGAGCGGCGTGCTAGTGGGCGCGGAGAGGCACGGACGGGCCATCACGGACCTCCTGCTTCTCCAGCCGGTTCTGCTCCTCGGTACGCGTGATGATTTCCGTCATGCTGGTCTCCAGGACCATGCCGCCCATCACGATCTCGTTCAGAATGTAGTGCACCTGGAAGGAGAGTCCGTAGAGTCATTTCCACCATGATGACGCCTGAAGACTGCGACAGCACGACACAGGTTCGTTCATGACGGGCATTCGGGGCCGAGGTATGGGACGGCTGTTTAGCCATGATGTAGACCAGGGATTAAACTGATCTGGGTCGGACCAGTCAGCCAGGACCGCAAGCCCAGGATGGCCGAGCTCTAACCGCCGGCGGATCTCTGCCCCGGCCGACTGAACACTGAACCCACGGCGTGTCTCTCCCGCGTCAGAACAGCCGACGGATCTCTGCCCCCGCCGACCGAACACTGAACCCACGGCGTGTCTCTCCCGCGTCAGAACAGCCGACGGATCTCTGCCCCCGCCGACCGAACACTGAACCCACGGCGTGTCTCTCCCGCGTCAGAACAGCCGACGGATCTCTACCCCTGCCGACTTTTCTTTTCGGTGGGCCAATGCAAAGCCTCTTTTTTTTCCTCGACGGACCTAGTCAGCTCCGAGGGGGGGGGGGGGGGAATTTACTTCTAGCATAAGGCCAGGCAACGATTACGCTAAACCGACTTATGCTGTCCGGCGCAAAGCAAGAGAGAGAGAGGGTATTCGTAAGTGACGTTACGTTAACCTGGCTCATTTTCGTCCAGCAAGATCGTAGCGAGTAAATCAGACCGCAGCAACAGATGTTTATTTCATGACGACATAGCACGCATTCAATACGTTTGAACAAGTGTGCCTCCTCACAGGCCCTTCCGCCTTACTCCTGGGGTGCCGTGTGTCCTGTGTGGGGTGTCCGTGTCAGCGATGGCCTTGGCTCAGCTGACTTGTCGGCGACATGTGCGATGGATGGATGCCGGCCCGCTTCATCGCAGCAACGGGGAGGTCAGCCCGGACTCCGCTGCCCGGCACGACCTTGTGGTGTTGTGTGATGTTATTGAGTCCTGGAAAGTCCTAACTAAGAAAAACCAAGACTCTTAGCCAATAGGGAAAAACCTGCAATCTTTGCCCAATTATGCAGGAAAAACCCTTGATTGAAATGAATATATCTAACCCTGTACTGTGTAAAAACTCAGAGGAGAACGATCAAATCGGGATAAGAATCACCGGGGAGAGAATGGAGATTGAAGGGAAGCCGATAAGCGTTGGTGTAATTAATGAGCGGCTGCTTTGATCGTTGATATACCGGACACACGAGGAGGACGTGATTTATTGTGAAAGGGATGCCGCAGCGATGACACAGTGGAGGAGGAGTGCGTTCGAAAAGGTGGCAGTGGGTGATTTTGGCGTGACCGATACGCAGTCTGGCAAGCAGCACTTCGTTCAGGCGATTATCTTGATTGATTGCCGGCCAGTGCTGAAGTATGGGTTTGATTGGGTGAAGGTGGTGATGAGCGCGTTGATCCCATTCGGATTGGAGAAAGAGACGAAAATGTACATTGATAGTTGTTAGAATATCAGAAACGGGACAATGAAGATGATTGCGTTCCGGAAGCATCAGACTTCGTTTTGCTTCTTCGTCAGCAGTGCTGTTTCCACGAATATTTGCGTGTCCAGGTGTCCAGAGAAACATTACGTGAGTACGTTGAGGAAGGGAGCAGAGCGTTCGTCGTATGCCGTTTAAAGTTGGGTGGGATGAATTATGGAGAGTGATGAGAGCTTGTAAGGACGAACGGGAGTCGGTGCATATATTATCATAGTCGGGCGAAGGAATTTGGGCGAGTAAGGCGGAGAGATCAGCTGAGGAGACAGGGCTGGCGGGGCTAATGTATATAGAAAGAAGAGTAAGATTTTTACGTTTATTGCAACTGAATTGAAATGAGTATTAAAATGAACTTGACGATGCAAAAGGTTATTTGAAACAAACAAGGCCGAACCGCCTCGGCGCGGGGTTTCGTTTACGTTATGTGTGTAGAGGCAATAACCGTTGATCTTAAAACTATAATTAAAAGATTCCGAGTCGTTAAATAAGGTCTCTTGAACGGCGGCTATCAATGGTTTGTTTTTGATCATATATTCCTTGAATTCTGCCCAATGGGATTCCAGAGATCTCGTATTCAATTGGAGCAAGAATTCACCGAACTGGGGATTCATTTAGGGCAGGGAGGGAGACCATCCAGCGGAGCGGCAGTGAGAGAGCGATCGAGGGGCGCGGCGGCGGGAGCGCGTAACGGGTCGGGCTCGGCGTTCGGCTGAGGGACTGCCCCGGGGGGTTGGCGTCGGGAGCGCGGCGGCTGAGGCATCGGATGGGGCTTCTTGGGACGCCGGCACGGGTGGAGTGGACCAACAGCGACGTGTTGGGGTGGGAGAGAGGCTCTCCGAGTTTGGTGGGGCCGCTTCCTGCTCAGGGAGGCTCGCAGCCACCGGGTTCGCTGTGACTTGGTCGGCTGGCGCGGACTCGATCATACACAGCACTGGACGCGGCTGACCTGCTGGGGAGGGGCGGCGTGCTGAGGAGGAGCGTTGTGCTGAGGCACAACGCTGGTTCGGTACCTCAGGCTCCTCAACAGAACGCGGAGGAGGGAGGGGGCACCGCCGCGGAGCTGGTGTTAGAGGGGGAGGATGAGGGTACGCCTCCCGCGGCGTGGGCCACTCCTGAGGCTGGAGCATTCGGACCGGTGCATAGGCCGCTGCCGCTGCCTGCTGCTGGCGCTCCCGCAGCGCCTCGCGCTGCACACGCCAAGCGGGACAGGCGCGGCGGTCCCCAGCTGCGTGCGGGCCTTTGCATGTGGCGCAGTGCGGGTTTTCCGCGTCACACTCCCGCGTGTGATGAGGGTCGGCGCAGCAGCCGCAGGTCGGGCGCGCAGCTCGGCAGGTCCGGTCAGTGTGGCCGAACCGTTGGCACGTGCGGCACTGCTGGGGAGGAGGGACCCAGGCCTTTAGTGGGACCATGAGGTACCCGCAGTGGATTGCACGTGGGGGCGTTAGCCCCCTGAATCTCAGGCGGACGAGTGGGTTGGGGCCCAGGCCGGGACGGCGGGAGGACAGGCGCATAACTTCGCACACCCCTTGCTCGGTCAGCTCCTCTAGTAGCTCGTCGTCCGACAGCTCGGTGAGCTCCGGGCTGTAGACAACCACCTGGATGGTGTTCAGGCGGTCTGCGATGGTGGCTGTGACCGCCCGCCCCAGGAAACTGCTCAATTTGAGCAGGGCCTCTGCCTGATGCTCCGAAAAAACCCTTACTAGCAGGGCTCCCGCGCGCAGCGGCTTGGCTCCATCCAGTTCACCGGTGCGGAGCTCGAGCTCCCGACGGATGGCAAAGGGGCTCGTTGTGCGGAAACATTTTCCGTCAACGTTTCTAATGAGCACGAAGCTCGGTCCTTCCGGGGGGGAAGTGGAGGGGGGTAGACAAGCCTCTCGCCGGCCGGTCGCCGGAGGGGAGATGTTGATGACATCTTGGGTCTTAACCTTAAAGTTAACTTAAATTAACTTATGAACTACTTATCACAACGACTTAAAACTAAATAACACAATTCCGACACATATTAGGCTGTCGTCAGCACGAGCACGAACCAGCTACCCGCCCCGTCGTCCTTACAGCGGCTGGCAGGTGGCAGCACTTCCTGGCGGCGGGAAGGGGCGGAGCCCAAATTATGGCGCGAGCATGGGACGATGACGGAGAAATATACCACTTACTGTTTTGAAATTAAGTTGGCGAGACGGCATATCGTGAACGCAACCAGGGCAATGTGTGATGGAATTTTAACAAAAATACCACCACCACATTGCCCCACGACAGAAAACTAACGCAGAAACAGAGCAAGCTGAAACACGACCGCCGTGAATCACGCCGCAAACCGAATGCCCCGGCCGACCAAACACTGAACCCACGGCGTGTCTCTCCCGCGTCCGAACAGCCGACGGATCTCTGCCCCGGCCGACTGAACACTGAACCCACGGCGTGTCTCTCCCGCGTCAGAACAGCCGACGGATCTCTGCCCCGGCCGACTGAACACTGAACCTAAGGCATGTCTCTCCCGCGTCAGAACAGCCGGCGGATCTCTGCCCCGGCCGACTGAACACTGAACCTAAGGCATGTCTCTCCCGCGTCAGAACAGCGAACGTTAGCCCCGACCACTCCGCCTGCAGCCGCCCGCCATCAGCAATAAGGGCCCTGGCGTCATTGGCCAGTCTAGGCTAACATAAAAGGAACGAACCTGGAGGTGATGAACTTTACCCATCACGAATCTTTGCCGATGCGAAAGCTTGCATACAACCAATCTTTCCTTGTAAACCATGTTCTATCCAAAGAAACAACTGCATACGGCCCGCCTCCACTGTAAGCCCTCCACATTGCCTAAACAGCCTTATCCAGACGTGCATTCCAATCACCCACCGCGGTTGGCGCAGGAATAGCCAGTGCTTCCGGGCACATCAATGACTTTCATACAAGTCCTCATGTTTACGACCCTGGTCCTGCCAGCCCCAGCTAACCTTGTTGACGTGGAAGACCAAGTCCAGCTCGCAGACGTTCTCAAAGCACTTGTCCAGCGTCTCGACGAGCACCTGGATCAGGTCGAGGATGCCGAGCTCCGACTCGGACGAGTCCACGCAGAACACAAAATACAGCGTGGCGTAGTGCCGGTAGATGAGCTTGTAGTCAGAGCCGCCGATCAACCTGTGAAACCGATGCAGTACACACCGTTTTAAATTAATAAAGTTATCAGAGGCCCAGTGCTGCCCCCATGACTTGGTGACTGACGCTAGATGAACTGCGATCCACGGTTGACTGAAACACTTCATCATCAAATTATGATACAAAGCGTGACAGAATGGTTTTGAGAATTACGCAACAGAGTGAAATGGTCACGATCTCAATGTTAGGGTGCTGCCACTTACGTGCCGCCTTCCAAAAAATTGCAGACGTTGTCCTCCCTCTTGGACACCAGTTGAAACGTTTCCTTAATGATCTTTTGCTGCATTTCTTCATTCTGCAAAAACTCAAACTGTAATGAAACCATGACGCCAACGGCGCACATTCTAGAGCAATAACAAGGGCGGACGTACATATAGTTGAGGATCACGTTCAGTCGGTCACCCTTGCCTCTCACCAACCCTCCTCGGCGTTTTGAAAACGTGGCGTTACGCTAAGGTTCGAGTGCAAGTCATGCTTAAATCTTGTTTTTAATTCAACAGGTTAGCAGGGGATTTCCGGAGATTCAGCGTTATCAGCGTCTAAGAAGAGAAGGGTAGGAAATTGCTAAAAATGTGTTTACACCCTCACCCATAAAGGGGGACGTGCCCCTGAAAACTTTTGAACTAAGACAGATTGAGAATCACAATCAGAACCCGCATGTTGCCCAGTGCTCGAGGCACCCAGCTAAGCCCACTTCGGGGCTCCAGGTCCATAGGTGACCTTCCCAGTAACATTGAAACTTGAAATGTTTTGTCGGAAACCACACAAAATGTTCTATCCAGCATCATTTCCAAGCTATTAAACAAAAAGCAACTCTGTGGGCACAAGCATCTTCTTCAGTTGCTTCTTTGGATCTCAATATGCATGTTTTCCTTGGTCTAGGTCAAAAGAGTGACTTTTCAAGCCATGAAAACATCCCCTCTGCCATTGGAGTACATAATATATGATCTTGCCAGGGGTGGCTGCCATTGTGAGCAGAGTTGGTTACAGGGAGACAAACCATACAATGAGCTTTGTCCTATGTAACAGTCATTGGTCTCTTATGAGGTTTATCTAAGGTCAAGCCAGATTATTCAGGTCTCACATGCTTTGTTGTGCACCATCCACCAGATAAACATAACCTTAGCTTTTGACTCCATTTCGGTTGGAATGAACTTGCACTGCACATAACCTTTGACAGGCCAGGGTCTAAGCATGGTATCAGGCCCTAAATTTCTTCTGTCTGTCATATAGTGACCATCTGTGTTATCATGATGTAATACACAACATTTGGTCAAAATAACAAACCTTACCAGGCTGACATATCTACAGGCAATAGCCATGCAGCCAAAATGTTGGATGCAGGCACTAAGTCAATTTCATGAAGGCAATTGGCATCCATGATATCATACAGCATCACATATTCTGAGTAATACTCAATACCCTATCATGCCGTTTTAACTAGCATTGCTGGGTGGATGTGCTAGTCTGGGGTGTGAAACATTGGTGCCAGCATCAAGATGATGCTGGCCTGGACTGATAGAGAGGGAAATGCGTGCAGAGAGGGACTGATCACAAAGAACAAAAAACACTGTGTTGTCATGTTGCACATCTATCATATCTGGTAAATGCAGTAAATATATCAAAGGAGAGCCACATCACCATTCTGAGGCCTACTGGTTTAACTTCCATCAGTGAACAGATAGTGGTATCAATAGTGATTGCTTATTTATAGCTTTAATGCTGATAGCACTGTCTACCATCAACATAGTAAAAAGAACTCCTAAACACACACAGCTATAACCACACACCTTATATATACACTACACAAAGCCACACATGTTGGAGCCACCTGTCAGTGACCTGCAAGTCACAGTATATGCCTCATGCTGCCACACATGTACCTGTAAAACCTGATTAGCCAGCCTTGACATAGCCCTTACAGACATGAGGTTAGCAGTATATGCAGGGCAGATATCAAATGGCTGTGAAGTGGAGCATCATCACCTGCAGGATCATTCACAGGGAGGTCAAGCCAAAACAGTAGCTGATTATGGATAGGCACCACTCATGCCTTCCTATTCATGTTTTTAAAAAGCACCTAGTGAGCCGACAAATCAACTTGGCCACCTAAGCAATGCGCAACAAAATCCCGTCTCATAATACAACAATACCCCACCATCCACATCACATGCAAGCCACCCTGTGTACTCACATAGTAGTGGTAAAATTTGGTAAGTCTTGGCTTGCCATGATTGTTGAATACCAAAACTGCCTTGATCATTTTGCCTCAATCAAGATGTGATAAGTGGGCAGGGTACCTATGTGTCAGCCAGGAAACAAGTGCATGAATCAAGATACAGGGAGTCACGGAGCTTCGTTTTACGGAACAGGACAAATCCGAGGGAACAGCAACGCTCGACCTCCGTATCAGGACACAAATGGCATCGATACGCTAAGATAGTACAAAAAGGCGGTATACTATACGTTGACAAAAGTACTGCCTTCACTTCCTATGCGCACCACCATCTCTGTCTACCATGCGCCACGCAACATGCAGTGTGGGATACATTATGACATTGATGATCAGTATAAGTTAACTTATCAATGTTGCTCGAATTCTTTAACACAAATAAAAGGAGCCTTCTTAATTCAAGGCATGCTTATAAGGTCGAATAAATACATGGTGTGATAAAATGACAAAAATCATAATTCTAGATTACATAAATATACTTGATATAAAGTGAATATGGCGCAACAAAGTCAAAATCTTAAAGAGGCGGAAACACGAGATATTATGAATACGAAATGGTAATGATGGATAGATGGTCTGCTTATGGCGGTACGGGAGGGTGTATTGAGCTGCGTTCATTAATTCCCCCACATTTTTGAAACTGGGTGTTAACCTGAGACATGTGTTCAAAACTGATATCGGCGTCGATAAGCAAATGGCCAACAACCAGGATAATATTACAGCAATCAGTTCATTTCAAGACGTGTATACCTCCAACGTCATAGTTATAAGAGATGTTGCGGAGGAGCGTTTTGACCCATCATGGAACATGGCTAGACTGGTTGGTTATTTTGAAATTGTAAGGAGCAGCTAGCCCTCAAAAAATAGTTTTGGATCTGAATTGTAATGCTTGCATTTTCCCGAGGAAATGGTTCTTTTGAAATGGCTGTGTTAAGTCTTTCCTGCTGCTTTTTAAATGGGATTTAATCTGGTGCACATCATGTTAAAGTCTGTTATTTTTTTCATCCCAGATTTGAATATTGAGAACAAGACAAGTCATGTGCTCTGTCTTTAACCTGCAACAGTATTCTGATTGATGTGATTCAGCTGGGGAGTGGCTCCTACTGGTCCATTCTTGTCGACCCTTTTTCTGAGTGGGTTGCTATCATGGATAGCACAAATAACCAGGAGACCCAAAATGTTCTGAAAAGTTTGCTGCAGTCAACATCCTCACTAATAATTGTTCAGGTGAGTAGAACTCCCCTTTTTAATTGTTATTGATTTAATGGAATTGTCAAATGTCATTTCAAGTTTTTGAAGAGCAGAACAATTGAGTCTTTACCAAAATAGAATTATGAACTCTGTCCTGAGTCCCAAATTTGGGATAGTTCATCATCTTTGTATACTTGGTAAGACTTCATGCTCTCATTACATTAATGTTGACCACATTGCATTAAATTTATATATATATATATATATATAAAGTAAATATTAAGCAGATATTTATCTGATATCATCATAGGTCAGTATGGTGCTTGCCACCCTCATCATATGGCATGGATTGATGAAAATTGTGTTTTTGTTTTGTGTGATAGCTGTCTATTCCAAGATTGTTTGTGTAGCATGAGTGCTGTGCCTGCTGCCCATGCGGTTCTTGCTGTCAGGTAGCATATCTACCATAAAGCATGCTCAGTATGCTGTCATAATGCTTAGAGTGACAGATCGTCATGGAACAATTGTGTGATATCCTCTAAACTTAAGGTGGGAGTTGGAAAATGGGTTGTCAACTGCCTTCTTCTAGCTGTAGACATGCCTGTGTGTAAGCTATTTTTATATCAAGTTAAGAAGTATCGTTGGATTGTGACTTGTTATATTGACCTATTATCATGACTGTACACATCATCAGAACTGTATCATGTTCTGTACACAATTTGCCTCTGGTTAACCTCACCTGACATTGATGACATTGTTAATTATGTTATAAATGATACTTGCATTAAAATTCAGGTAAATTGGTGACCACTAAGTGTGAAATACACCAAACATGGGTATCTCACATGATTTACCTCTCCCCAGTATATGGTTGTGAAGACTAGGGATCAGTTCTCCTAGTAAGGTTTACCATACAACGCAATCTACAATGTATGCAGTTTACAGCGTCAACCATCATGGTTTGTATATCATCGTGGTCCTGTATCAGCCCTGTGTTGCATCACTGTGTTTATGTAGTAAGCTCCTAAGTTATAAGGCTGCACACTCTACACCCGGTTGCTGCACTCCACGGGCACCGCCGGAGGGACGTGCGGCGCCGACGCCAGCCGTCCACACGGCGGCGCATCATCCCGACAAGGAGCCGACCGCGAGTTCAGATCCCCAGGCCCATGCCGAGGTCAGGTCCAGGGGTCCATGCAGAAGCCAGATCCTGAGGCCCATGCAGAGGTCAGGTCCAGAGGTCCATGCAGAAGCCAGATCCTAAGGCCCATGCAGAGGTTTTTATCCAAAGGTCCATGCCAAGGCCAGATTCCGAGTTCCATATCGGAGTCAGATCCCGAGGTTTATGCCGAGGTCAGATTCCGAGGTGCATGTTGATGTGAGATCTAGAGGTCCATGCTGAGTTCAGATCCTTGGGCCCATACCAAGGTCAGATCCTGAGGCCCATGCTGACGTCCGATCCAGCGAGACGACCAGTCCCAGCAAGGTCCTGCAGACAGTGTCTGTATATAGCGAAACATTAAGCTGAGAAGAGCGACGCGATACAACATCCATCGTCAAAATGGAGACACACTGACGTTTACGGCCCTGTGAACACACTGATCTCTGATGATGGCCTCCAACCTAGCTGTTTTTTGCAGGTTACATACAGGCTGTTCACCTTTATTACGAATGCTGTTGTTTTACGCTACATAAGTCCTGATGTTTTGGGAATCATCAATGTCAGGTATGGAAACTGTTTTTGTGTTACCTGAACTTTTGTACAGGCGATACTGGTCAAGCGACGTTATAAAACTATGCTTATTCAAGCAGTTTATTGAATGTCACTTCTAATCATGATAGGAATTCACAATTCGCTACACGAAAAAGAGGAACTTGAGGTCGGTCTTGCTTGTATCAAATTTGACCCATGCAAGCAATACTAATGCATGTGCCGAAACCAGCAAACCCAAGCTATGCGCTCGCGCACAGAAAAGCATGTCTGTAATTGACAGAGGACCGCCAGTTGGCTGTGGTGTGGTCTCACGTGTGACCGGTGTGCGGCCAGGCTGGCACTGCTCTACTCCACGGCCACGTTCGTCAGCTGCGAGGCGTTCCGTCGCGTGGCGCTGGGCGTGTCCGAGCCGGCCAAGTGGCGCCAAGCCATCAACCTGCTCTGGCTCAGGTGACCGGCTGCCACAGGCTGCCACACGGCTGCCACACGGCTGCCACACGCTGTCATACGGTTGCCACGCTGTGCCACACGGCTGCCACGCGCTGCCATACGGCTGCTATACAGCCATCACATGATTGTCACACTACTGTCATACGGCCCCGCGGCGCAGCCGCTCGCACGCCATGTGATTATGGTGAGAACGCCAAAACATGGACGTCGATAGTCTAGAGCCATTATCAGCCAGAAGGATGGGGCGTTGGGATAGAGAGCACACCAAGCCGGAAACATTTGGGCGGGCTGACGCTTGACTGAAAAGTCGCGCAGTTTTTATGTCGTGTGCGCGTGCGTGTGAGTGCGCGTGCGTGTGAGCGCGCGCTTGCGTGAGTGCGCGTGTGTGTGAGTGCGCGTGTGTGTAAGTACGTGTGTGTGAGTGCGCGTGTGCGTGCGTGTTGACGCCGCCCGGCCGGCCGCCAGCGTTCCCGTCTCGGTGCTGGTGTCGGCCGCGCTCGCCTGGCTTTGGCTGCACGCGCTGAGCCAGCCGGCCGCCGAGGTCACGTCCGAGTACCGGCTCGGCGTCTGGGTGACGGCCGCCATGGTGGTGCTGGAGGCGCTGGCGCAGCCGCCGGCTGTGCTCGCGCAGGCCATGCTCTTCGTGAAGCTGAAGGTGGGCGGCGGCGGCCGGCTGCAGGGTCGGGGCGTCTGGCTGACGCGGAGCCGTCCCCGGCCGGAGGCGTGTGCGTGGCTGGACATCGCCTGCCCTCCGGTCCACAGGGCGTCGGACGGGTCCAGGAGACGGGCCTAAGTACTCACAGCTCTTGGTTACGACTCATTACAGTGTCTAGTATCTCTTGCTGTACGCAAGCTTGCACTGATGTTTCGGTTCAGACCAGCCGAGAGCGCGGACAGATGTGATAAGGCGTGCCGAAGACGCGCCGTCACCTGATGCACACCAATCCAGACCAGCGCCGGCCGTGGCGCGTGCGGGTGACGCGAGTGTCCGGGGCCGTCGCCAGGTGACGGCCGACATGCTGACGCTCTGTAGCCGCGTGCTGCTCAAGGCCTGGCTGATCGTCAGCCATCCGTCGCACGCCGTGTGGGCCTACTGCGTCAGCCACGCGGCCAGCTCGCTGCTGCTGGTCACCATCTACTACGGCGCGCTGGTGTGGCACGTGCGCTCGGCACCCAACTGTCTGCCGGTGCGCTCCGTCGGCGAGCTGGGCTTCCGCCGGCTGCCGGACAAGGTGGGTGTGACGTCATGTGACGGGCTTTCCGAATGGCAGGTGCGTTTGTAAGGAGCGTCAGTGTGACGTCGAACATTCGGACACGGGCGGTGGTGTGTTCACAGGTACGTTCTGGGTCTGGTTCAAAACATGCATTTGCATATGTTTGGTGTTTGGTGTTTTTGCCCCAGACCGGCTGGATCACGTGCATGCAAGCTCGCATCACGTTCTGTGGACATTGCCGTATAGGACTATACATTTGGTTGGTATGCGTCATGTCTTCGGCTGTGTTACACAGTTAGTACTATGTTGAAAACACGTAGTCTCCCCAACCATTTTGACCTTGTATTCTACTGCCAGAGTGCTAACGTTTGGCTCCATTGATGCTGTTAATGCCCATGTTGAAGGCGGCCAAAGCATGCTGTCGACGGCTGTCTTCGTGACCGGCTGCTGGCGGTATGGTCGGATGCTGGCCGCGCGAGCCGACCTGCCTGCGGCCTGTGACACCCCTCTCTCCTCTGCCCCCTGCAGCCTACCTTTGACGCGGCACAGACGGCCCTCACCTGGAGCTTCTTCAAGCAAGGCCTGCTAAAGCAGCTGCTGACCGAGGGCGAGCGCTACCTCATGACCGCCTTCCACATGCTCGACTTCGCCGAACAGGGCGTCTACGACGTGGTGGCCAACCTGGGTAGCCTGGCCGCCCGCTTCCTCTTCCAGCCGGTCGAGGAGAACGCCTACGTCTTCTTCGCCCGCACGGTGCAGCGCGGCAAGGTGCGGGACGTGCTGACGGCGGGCGGCGGCGGCGGCGGTGAGCTTCCTCGGGCTGTTGTGTTGTGCTGTCGCCGTGACGCCTCGCCCGTGACGCCTCAGTGCCCCCCCCCCCCCCTCCCCCGGCGTCGGCGCACAGGCGTGACGCGTTGCGTGCCTGACAGGCGCTGTCGCCGGCCAGCAGCCGTGTGCTGCACGACCTGCTGCGCGGCATGACGCTGCTGGGCCTGCTGGCTGTCACCTTCGGCTGGAGCTACTCACACCTGCTGCTGCGGCTGTACGGCGGCGCGCTGCTCACCGAGGGCGGCGCTGTGCGCCTGCTGCGCGCCCAGTGCTGCTACGTGCTACTGCTGGCCGTCAACGGCGTGCTCGAGTGCTACACCTTCGCCGTCATGATGCAGGATGAGATTAATGGGTAAAGAGGTTGAGGAAGGGATAGACGGGTCGTAGGCAAGCATGCATTGGTGGAGTACAGGAAAAGGGAATAGGTTTGGCCTAGGCGTAACGTTGTAAAATTAATGACATTGATAAAAATGAAAACCGCGAACGGTCTGAAAACAAGTAACATGTAATTGCACCCTGGTTTCCTGAGTAAAATTGATAAAAATGAAAACTGTGAATGGTCTGAAAACAAGCAACATATGAGTGTACCCTGGTTACCTGAGTAAAATAAACCAACTCTAAGTATGGCTCGATACCGTGACAGTTGCCAGCGTTACTTTCGCTTATCGGTGGAGCTTTACAAGCAACCCACAGACCGAGATACTGCGAAACTATGGATGCACCATTGTTTTTTTCAGGTACAATAGGAGGCTAGTGACCTTGTCTGTGATATTCGTGGGCTCAACATGGATCCTCACGAAGTGGTTCGGTGGCGTCGGCTTCATTTTGGCAAACTGTGTCAACATGCTGAGCAGGATATTCGTATGGTGAGTCGGTGCCTTAAGCTGCGCATAGCTCCATTGTTCGGCCTGTTGGTTGCAGTGCACTGAAACTGCATAACTTGGTGAAAGGTTATGAATCAAGTCGTGGTGGCGACAGCGCACTGGGCCATTTTAGACACTGAAACGGGACCGGGCCACCCAGGCGGAAGCATGGCTAGCATGTACATTATTTCCTCCAAACGTGCTCTTAACACGCGCGTAACCGTAACGCGTCTACGGTTACATATTCCTCGTCCGGGTGGGGGTCAATTTGACCCCCTGAAATCTCAGGAACTAAGGGGGCCAGAAACACAAAATTCGCAGGGTGTGTTGGCCTATATTTGAACTCAGGTAAAAATTTGAGGATCCTAAGTCATGACCTTCGGACCAAATAAGGTCAAACAAGGTCAAACTCTACGCTGGTCTCCAGTGTTCCAAGAACCCAGATACCCGCTTTAAGCGGAAGTTCGCACACTCATTTGAGGTCAGTGACCTTGTCTGACCTTTTCAAGGTCATGGTGACCAAAATCATGGAAGACTGCTTTGAGTTTTACATTTGATGAAGCTTCGAAGATTACGCTAGGCAATATGTTCCTAAAAACGAAATGTTGACCTGGGCCATTTTAGTTCAGTGACCTATTCTGACCTTTGAGAAGTCCATGGAAGATGTCTAATGCGGTTTCTGTTATCAGTGAATTCGAAATAAGCACCAAAGTCTAGCCCATATAGCAAGCCCTAGATCAATGAAACAGGTTGGTTTTGACCTTTTTCTGACCTTCACACCTGATCCTAGGTCGATGCGATTTGTTCATTTAAATGTTGCTTTGCCTAAGAAAGTATCTCAGAGATGTACGATTGTGCCTAACACTCCGTCGTTCCATCAGATTAAACGATTCCCCAGAAATTGACCGCTGAATCCATGGCCTGACTTTGACCTGTCGTAGGTCAGCGACCTTACAAGGTACATCTAATTTTTAATACCACACGATTCGCTATTGAGTTGTCTACAGCTAGGCAACGTGTGGTGCGGCTGCGCCGCGCCGTTCGAAAACCATTGTGGAAAAACCCTTGGGGGCGGGGGTCAATTGGACCCTCACCCGGGCGCGTGTCAACCTAATTAAGCTCTCAATCGACGTTCAGAGCTGTGAATGACACACCCTGCCGAACATTGACGTGACAGACACTGGCGTGTGCCAGTTACCAGCGCTGGTGGTGACGCCAAATAAGTCAACCTAAAATGCCGACCTCTGGCCGACATTATGTCGGAATCGTGGTCTCAGCCAACACGGAGCCGAAAACCTTGGCTGCTGATTCAGACATGCCTTGCTGTCCAAGTTTTCGATGCGTGACCGGCCATGTATTTAATGGGGTAAATGGCAGTTGAATGCTACTTAAATAATGAGATATACCGCATAGGTCAATGGAGGTCTTGATCAGTTGATGAAATTAAATGCTTTGAAATGGGCTCTAGCAAACGAAGTTACAGCACGATGAAGGATTATCGAATACCTCGAAAAGGTGCTGAAATATACTTGGGAGTTTGGTACGGAAGTGCCAAAGGAGCTTTAGTGGAAGCACCGCCAGTGAAGCAAGGCAGCATTTAAAGCAACGGAATGTTACCCAACCATCCTACGTTGGTAACAGCAGCCATTCGCCGCCACCGCCACTAGTTTCGGTCATAATCCTTTACATTTTTAAGCATAAATCCAGGCCGGATCAATCCCATTTAGTGTATTTTCATCCTGTGTGTCTGGCATCTACAGCAGCAGGCCCTGCGTGGCCGCGTTAGGTCATGTAGGGCCGTGGCGTCTGACGGCGCGCCGTGTCCGCCAGTTACCGGTTCGTCTCCCGCCGGCCGTGCGACCCGGCCGTCACCGAGTCTCCGCTGCTGGGCCTGCGTCCGCCGGCCAGCGTGGTGGCCGCCCTGCTGCTGTCCGGTGCGCTGGCCGCCGCCAGCGAGCGCTGGCTCTACCCGCGCGCCGCCGCTGCGCACGTGCTGGTGGGTGGCACGTGCGGCGCGGCCGTGCTGGCGGCGGCCGTGTGGTCCGACCGCCGGCTGCTGGCCGCCCTGCGCAGCCGCCTGACCGCTAAACAGAAACGCACGTGATCGCGGGCCTGTGACGGCCGTGGGCTGCGCGGGACGAAGCACGTGCTCACTGTTGCTCGGCTGGGGTGGTGGGCCCGCGCTGAATACACGTTTTCACGGGTGGACCGATGGTTGAGCGGCATTGTACGTACATCGGTGGCCGGCGTGGGAGTCGATGATTGGATACACATCCTCGTCTCGCCGGGTAACGTCAGTTGCAAAAGATGTGACCGTTGAAGGCATTGTGGTGCTACGCTCTCGCTGTGTGACCGACCGGCCGCCGGCTGGACATACACCCTCGCTGTGGGACCGGCCGGACGCCGGCTGGACATACTACCTCGCTGTGTGACTGACCGGCCGCCGGCTGGACATACACCCTCGCTGTGGGGCCGACCGGCCGCCGGCTGGACATACTACCTCACTGTGTGACTGACCGGCCGCCGGCTGGACATACACCCTCGCTGTGGGGCCGACCGGCCGCCGGCTGGACATACTACCTCGCTCTGGGACGGACCGTGTCACAGGCCCTGCCCTCCGCACGCCTACCCAGTTATGCGTCATTTACTGATTCTTCCGCTCTTGGAGATCCGACTATACTCCTTCGCGATTTACCGTCACATTGTGGTTGGAAGGTGCGTACCTCTACTTCCATGCCAGTCCGTACTTGGGCCTTACTTATCCATTCACGTCCGTTTGTGACCGTCGCCGAGCGCGATCAGTACAGACCAGAGAACGGCCGAGGCAGACTGCTTACCAGCGGGGGACAGCGTCGTCGGGGGGGGGGGGGGGGGCGTATTGCAGCACATTGACGGGCTCTTTAGTGGGGATCAGGCTCTTGGCACCATACCAAGGGCCGTTCTAATGTCACGCTATTACCACATTGGTATTGCAGTCAGCCCCCGCATAAGTTTGACAACCATCGGCTTTGGCTAAATGACTTAAAAGTTGCGATGGAAGGGAACATGGCGGATGCACGTCAGCTTAACGCGTGACAACCGAGTTACCTGCAATCACCGGGAGCACGCCGCAGTCTAGCACGCCAGACCGAATAAGAATTTGTTGGTCTTGCCTGATAAATGGCCTGGCCGAATGATAATTTGTTGGTCTTGCCTTGTAAATTGCATGGGCCCAGGCTAGATGAATAATTTGTGCTTTGCTTAAGCCATTTTGAATCACATGATGAACAAGGGGTGATAATGTTCAACAGTAAACTAAAATTTCTATTTTAGTTACCTGTTGTCAGAAACGTGCAACAGGCAGTGTCGGGTAAACAATCCGCTTTGTGCCGCGCCGTCAACTAATCATTGCGAGCCAGAAAACGCTGTCAAAACCGAAATCGTGCAATTTCTACGCCGTAGCCATCCACAACACTTCATGAGCCGCTTAGCAGTGATAAACCTGTTGGGGCCAGTACAACAGCCTTCCAGTCGCGCGTGTCCCACGCGCTATCGTGTGCTGTTTCGGTTTTGAGACTTTTAATGATGGCACTGACGGCCGCTACGGAATTACAAGCAAAAAAATTGCATCACAACGCAGCACCGTTAAGTGTGAGCACGGTCCGGCGCCGTGCGCCGTCGTGTCCAGGGAGTGCGGCGAGGGGGCCGGTGGGCGGCCGGCCGACGTTGGTCCGCTTCAGTCGCATCGATCGCGGCCCGGCGCCGCTCGCGCGCATCGATTGGCAGACCGGCGGCGGCCTTCTCTCGCTCAGCTGAGACCGGCGGAGCGACGACGCCCGCCCCGTCCGCCGCCGCCGGCCGCCACCCAGCCGCACCGCGGGACAGTGCCGAGCGCTGCTGCGGCCAGACGGCGCACCTGTTGAGAGGGTGAGGAAGCGGGCTCAGTGCAGCCGGCGGCGGGGGTGATGTCCTGCCGGTGACCGGCCGACTGCCGGTGACCGGCCGACACGGCGCCTTGCTGACCGCGGCGCATGGCGGACGGCGGTCAACGGGACGGGCGAGACGGCGGCTGTCGGAGCAGCGGAGCGACCGGTGAGCACGACAGCAGCCCGGCGCAGGCAGCCAGCAGAACAGCAGCAGGGAACCGGGACGGGTGAGCAGGTGAGCGGGAGACGCCGCCAGCAAACCAGGAGCCAGCGGTCAGCGAGAGGCCAAGCGACAGGGGCCCACGACCAGCAAGAGTTGTAGCAGCCGGCCGCAGCCGGCAGCGAGCGTTCCAGCGGTACGCAGCGGTGACCGGGTGAGTCCGGCGGCGGGACAGCCGTCAACTGTTAGCCTGGCCGCCCGGCCTCCAGCGCCTGCCATGAACGCTGAGGGTCCCCGCATCAGCGTCAGCGGCTCGGCGGCGGCGCGCTCGCCCAGCCGCGAGTCGCTGCGCTCCGAGGCGGCCGGGCTTGCCTCGGCGATGAGCTGCGAGCTAGCGCGGCTCGGGCTGAGGCCAGCGCCGCCGCCGTCGCGCGGGCCCTCGCCCGGGCCGAGCGGCCGTCTGCGCGTGCCGGGCGCCGGCGCCGCCCGTCCGCTCTCGGCCGACCTCTGGTGTGAGGACGAGGCCGACCTGCTGCGCTCTTGCGGCCTGCTCAGCCGCATGCTGGGCATGTCCAAGAGCTTCAGCACAGGCGACATCGCGCGCCTGCAGGAGGAGGCGGCGCCGCCGCGGCGCGCCGTCAGCCAGGCGGCTCTGCAGAGCGCGCGTGACGAGCTGGACAAGCCTCGCCTGGACCCGGCCAGCCGTTCCTGCAGCACGTGGGTGGCGGTCGGAGACCTGGCGTCCACCTCCCAGCTGCCGTCGCCGCAGGGCCGGCAGCAGGCGGCCGCCGGCCAGTCGCCATTTTCGGCCGCCGATCTCATCAGAGCCGTCAACAAAAAGGTGCGCCGGTCCTCGTCTCCGACTTGCCAGTTGAATGCAATTCTGTCAAGCTAGTGCCTTTGCTTAACACGGGCTGCTTATGTATGTGGCCACCCCCGTTGTACGTTCTTTGAAGCGTTGGTCAGAACGTTCTTGATTAGACGGATTTCTTGGGACGGAGCTAATGCCAACCCGTGATTGCAGTGTGAGTCATGATTCTATCGTCCGAGCGTGTAATTCCAGTTCGACTGCAGAGCTTGGTGGCAAAAGCTTAACGTGCCGCCACGATCAGCACGATTCTCCAGCCCTCTGACCTCATCTGACCTTAAACAGCCGTTGCCACCGAACGCAGGCCATCACATTCAGTGGGCGTCGAAATGAGTTGAACCCAACCACCCCGCCATGGGTGGGATAAAACACAGGTGCTCTCAGCCAACTGAGCTACTGGGCGGACCTGTTGCGATTTCATGGGTATGTCTGTTTGGTCCGAAATGGATGCATGGCTTGTCGCCAGACATTTTTGTCACACTATACGTCATTGAAGAATACTGAGAACAGGAGTCTCTTCCCTCTACGCCCCCTTGTGACTGTGATATGGTTTGCATTCAGAGAGTTGCTGATTATCAAGGATTTACAAACGTTTGTTCTGAAAGCTCGCTCACTCAGAAAGCAATGCACCCTGACCAAAACGTAATTTTGGTTTTTGAAAATTTTGACAAGTTTTGTTAATTTCATTTTCACCGAAGAAAAAACCTGGTTCATGCACCAAAACAACCCATGGCACACGAGATCAGCCCGGCATCTAGTATGTACTGGTGCCCGGCGTCCAGTATGTACGGTTGTCGTCAACAGCCAGTCCAGATGCGGCCCCACAAAGCTCACAAGGATCTACGCCGATGGTGTGTGTCAGCCCCGTTTACCATGCATGGATGCGCAGTGACGGCGGGATCTAGCGGGGATGTTTAGTGGGGCCGAGCCGCGCGTAGGCACCCCGCCAGCCCCGCGTGCTGCCACACCTGTCGTGTTGCAGGTGCGCCAGAACTACATCCGACGGCGCCTGCAGATCACCTTCAAGGCGCTCCACCGCCTCTCGCAGAGCGAGTTCAACCTGGAGCAGCTGTTCAGCACCGGCGCTCTGCCGCCAATGGGCGGCGTTACCAGCGCGGCCGCCACCGGCGGCAGTGGCGGCACCGGCGGCGGCGGCGGTGGCGGCGGTGGCGGCGGTGGCGGCGCCGGTGGCACCGGCGGCGGAGCGCCGAGCGAGGGAGCCACGGCGGGCAGCGCGGAGCTAGCGCGCGGCCGTCCGCAGGCGCGGCCGGCCGACGCGGCTCCGTCGGGCGTCACCGTGCGAGACGTGGACCGACAGCGCGGCCGGCCGCTCACGCGCTACCAGCGCAACATGATGGTCTTCAACTGGCTGCACACGCTCGACGAGAGCGGCCTCGAGGTGACCTAGGCGGGATGCGGCGCCGGCCAGGCGAGGGGCGTAGGGCCCACCGTCCGGCCAAGCGCACACCGGGCAGCAACAGCACTGGTTCGGTGGTGAGGCTCAGCCTGCGCCCGCGGCGCCCACTCGGGTGGCCGCGCAGGCCGCTCGCGCCCGGCTCGGCGGGGCGAGCCGGTTCACATGTCGACAATCCCCGGCAGGCACCTGCTGCCATTTGTTTCTGGCCCGGTGCCGGCCCGGCCGATGGGCCCGTCCGTTTGTATCGCGGCGTCTTCGCCGAAGCCTGCCGTGCATTCGTCAGGCAGCAGTTGGCCCGTGTGCTGCTCCCCGCCTCCAGTCCGGCGCGCCGACGCCGTGTTGTGCTTTATCCTCTGTCGTTTTTGCGTGAAGTTGAGTTTTGCTATGCAGGTGCTTGAAGAAAATATGAAGGCCAATTACCGCAGCACGTGTCTGTGCCCTGCTATCAGGATGGGTCGCTGGTCCTCTAGTGACGCGTCATCCGACGACCAGTCACGGCGTGACATATGCTCCGGAATCTCTCCGTATATTACACTCCACGCGGGACCAACGTCACAATCGTACCGGACGTGCGGCGCAGCGCACGCGCCAAGTACCTCCAGCGTCACCCCAGCCGTCCGCCGGCTGTCTGTGGCAGCAGCTGCTGCCTCGTCGGCTGGTCGGCGCTAGCCAAGGCGGGGCTCCCCGTCGGCCCGAGCGGCGGCGGCGGCGGCGGCGGCGGCGGCGGCGGCGGCGGCGGCGGCGCTACCTGGCCCCGCCGGTGCCGAACCGTCGGTTCCAGTCGTCATACACCTGCAGGTCCTCCTGGGAGACGCTGGCGCGGATGTTGGCCAGCGCCGCCACAAAGTCGGCGTGGATCAGCGGCCGCACCTGCCCACGCCGGCCAGTCAGGGCCCCGGCCAGAGAACCACACCCAAACAGTACAGGGTGCAGCCAGCGACATGCACACTTCGTGGTGGATCAGCGGCCGCACCTGCCCACGCCGGCCAGTCAGGGCCCCGGCCGGAGAACCGCACCCAAACAGTACAGGGTGCAGCCAGCGGCATGCACACCTCGTGGGAGCGCACTGCGCTGACTGCGCACCGCGCGATACACAGAGCAAACACCTCGGCATATTTGCGACGTTTCCGTGTCTTTAGCCATGTGCGGCACCGGAGCGCTGAGATAACCCGCCTCCGGGTGACCGGTTGGCAAACTTGCGTCGCTCCCACAGCGCGACGTGCGGCGGTATGTCGCCCCGCCCCGAGCTCTCAGCGCATGACGGGCGGCGTGTGCGGCGCGCTAGTGGTGTCGGCTCACCTGCTCGGGCGTGATGTGGTGGATCTGGTCGGGCCCGATGCAGCGGATCGGACCGAGCGCCGCCTCGCGGCACAGGTTCGTCACGTCGGCGCCCGAGTAGCCGTCGGTGGCCAGCGCCACGGCGTCCAGCTCGGCGGCGCCCAGCTGGTGGCGCTGAGAGCTCAGCAGGTTGTCGACGATCTGCCGGCGGGCGGCCGCGTCCGGCAGCGGCACCAGCAGCCGCTTGACGAGGCGGCGGCGCGCAGCCTCGTCCAGCTCCTGCGGGCGGTTGGTGGCGCCCACCACCAGCAGCCGGTCCTCGCCACTGGTGGCCGCGCCGTCCTGGCCGGGGCAGGGAGCCGCCGCGTCACGCCGCGCCGGCCGCAGCTGACTGAGGCCAGCGGCCCGACCGAGCCGCGCTCCAGGCACAACACAAATAACATGTGTAATGCGTCTAAATCGCTGAGCACGATCGTCCTGTGCCAAAAGCAGCGGATCGGTAGAAGCAAATCATGTTTAGAGAGGCCGCAGGAGCGTACTGGCAGAGGGCTCCAAAACTATTCCCATGTGTTAAACAGCAACATGAACCATGCAATACACCTCCGTGACCAGAGGAAACAGCAGGAGTACGTCAGCAGCCGCGGCTGCCCGTTTAGGTCGCGGAACCACAAGACACAGCGCACCAGACTGCGTGACATGCCGGCCGCACACCATCATCTGATGATCACAGAGCCGTGAGTGACGGAGGCGCGCACCGCCGGCAAACGGTCCCGCCCCTCACCGCTGCCCCCTCCCTTCAGTCGCGCTCCTGCATCACCCGGCAGACGGTCCCCGCCCCTCACCGCTGCCCCCTCCCTTCAGTCGCGCTCCTGCATCACCCGGCAGACGGTCCCGCCCCTCACCGCTGCCCCCTCCCTTCAGTCGCGCTCCTGCAGACCCACCAGCTGCACTAGGAACTCCGTCTTGATGCGTCGCGAGCTCTCGTGCTCGGACTCGGAGCGCTGAGACAGCAGTGAGTCGATCTCGTCTATGAACACGACGGCCGGCTGGTGACACCTGGCCGCCGGGACGCGCCGGGTTAGCAACTGACGCCGTCTGGGCTAGGCGCGCTCCACAGCCAGCACACGCAGATAGCAGACACTCGCTCAGACCGATGGCGCATACAGCAGCACGGCATGCCACCCGCCCATATATTTATGTTCATTAATTCAACGCCGGCGCTCACTTCATGGCGCGTGCTGCGTGCCCGGTTGACACCCCCATGTCCGGTGCCAACTGACCGGCTGTGGCCGGCCCGCAGCGCCAGCGCTGTTTCTGGCACGCGGCAGTCCGTCAGCCTGGCGGCCACGTGAGCCGCTGCTATACAGACTGGGCTAGGGAAACGACGACAGCTGCTTCCTCGGAATACAAGGCCCGGCAAATCACGTCTGTTACGCGGCATCACACCACCGCTCGCACTCCGCACGCCAGTACCCATGAAAGGCGCGAGAAAGAATGAGTCCCGGCACCAGAAAAAGCTATCGATAATCCTTATGCTCTGACGATGATATCGACAGATATGCGCCGGCATGACCTGTCCGGTCCGATCCGATCCAATCCGTCCGGTCCGGTCCGGTCCGGTCCGGTCCGGTCCGGTCCGGTCCGGTCCGGTCCGTTTCGGTTCGGTTCGGTTCGGTCCGATCCGATCCGATCCGATCCGATCCGATCCTGTCCGGTCCGGTCCGGTCCGGTCCAGTCCGGTCCGATCCGATCCGATCCGATCCGATCCGATCTGGTCCGATCCGATCCGATTCGGTCCGGTCCGGTTCGGTCCGGCCCGGTCCTTCCGGTCCGGTCCGGTCCGGTCCGGTCCGATCCAGTTTAGTCCAGTTTGGTTCGGTCCGGTCCAGTCCGGTGTGGTCGGTTCAGGTCAGGTTAGTCTTGATCAGATCAGACCAGTCCAAAGCAGATCAGGTCAGGCTGGACCAGATTGGGTCAGGTGAGGCAGGGCCAGTCAAGTCCGGTGTCAGGTCAGGTCAGAACGGGTCAGGCCGGGCCGACCCCTTCGCCTGGTCTGTAGCTGCCTCACCTGGCGACGGCGAATAGAGCGCGCACCATCTTCTCTCCCTCGCCCACCCACTTGGAGGTGAGGGAGGAGGCGCTGATGCTGAAGAAGGTCGACCGGGACTGACTGGCGATGCACTTGCCTGGGGACGAGCGGCACCGGCGGTCAGCGCACCGTGACACGTCTGGGGACGAGCGGCACCGGCGGTCAGCACACCGTGACACGTCTGGGGACGAGCGGCACCGGCGGTCAGCACACCGTGACACGTCTGGGGACGAACGGCACCGGCGGTCAGCACACCGTGACATGTCTGGGGACGAGCGGCACCGGCGGTCAGCACACCGTGACACGTCTGGGGACGAGCGGCACCGGCGGTCAGCACACCGTGACACGTCTGGGGACGAGCGGCACCGGCGGTCAGCACACCGTGACACGTCTGGAGACGAACGGCACCGGCGGTCAGCACACCGTGACATGGCGGGACACGTCTGAGGACGAGCGGCACCGGCGGTCAGCACACCGTGACACGTCTGGGGACGAGCAGCACCGGCGGTCAGCACACCGTGACACGTCTGGGGACGAGCGGCACCGGCGGTCAGCACACCGTGACACGTCTGGAGACGACCGGCACCGGCGGTCAGCACACCGTGACATGGCGGGACACGTCTGAGGACGAGCGGCACCGGCGGTCAGCACACCGTGACACGTCTGGGGACGAGCGGCACCGGCGGTCAGCACACCGTGACACGTCTGGAGACGAACGGCACCGGCGGTCAGCACACCGTGACACGACGGGACAGGGGCCATCTCCCTGCTGCGCCGCACATATCCAAGGCCGCACCTCAGAACACGACAACGCCCATCAGTGTGCGCCTTCTACAGCTGGGTGATCATTGGGAACACTGCAACCGAATGTAAGAAGACATCAGTAGACCAACTGACGATACAGCTCTGGAGGATGTTGGCGTACAGATCCAAGGGCGAGAAACGGCCACTCCAAGAGCTGTCAAATATCACTGGTTGGCCTTCACCGGCTCGCTCGTGGGCGAGTTTGGGCACTGAGAATGCCGGCCGAGCGGCGGTCTGTCACGCGGACCATGGCGACCCTCACCAATCAGCGTCTTGCCGGTGCCGGGCGGGCCGAACAGCAGCAAGCCCTTGGGAAGGCCGCGCAGCCCGGTGAAGATGTCGGGACGCAGCAGCGGCCAGATCACCATCTCCTGCGCGCCACACACGGAACACGGCTCAACCACACAGCGGCCAGATCACCATCCCCTGCGCGCCACACACGGAACACGGCTCAACCACACAGCGGCCAGATCACCATCTCCTGCGCGCCACACACGGAACACGGCTCAACCACACAGCGGCCAGATCACCATCTCCTGCGCGCCACACACGGACACGGCTCAACCACACAGCGGCCAGATCACCATCTCCTGCGCGCCACACAACGGGACACGGCTCAACCACACAGCGGCCGGATCACCATCTCCTGCGCGCCACACACGGAACACGGCTCAACCACACAGCGGCCAGATCACCATCTCCTGCGCGCCACACACGGGACACGGCTCAACCACACAGCGGCCAGATCACCATCTCCTGCGCGCCACACACGGAACACGGCTCAACCACACAGCGGCCAGATCACCATCTCCTGCGCGCCACACACGGGACACGGCTCAACCACACAGCGGCCGGATCACCATCTCCTGCGCGCCACATCCGAAGCACGTGAGCCACGGCTCAGCCCCACAGCGCCGGGGCCGGGCCCAGACGCGACGCGATCGACGCTCGTGGCGGCTGTATTCCCGCGAGCGGCGCTCGTTTCCAGTACAAACGCCGAACGAAAGCCGCAAGGACGCAGGCAGCGTACAACATAAATCGCGTAAGCGGGCGACCCGTCCGTCGTAAGAGCAGCGACGTAAAGCGGCAGGTCACTGACATGGCCTCAGCGCACAGGACAGCGATGACGCGAGGCGAAGGGCGGCCGCCTGACAATGGCACTCTATAGTGCTGGGTGGCCAGCATCAACACTAAACACACACCCGGCATTGCCACATGACGTCAGGGACTTCGGGGATCAGCGGAAGCCAGCGGTACCATGGAGCGCCTGAGGTATTTCCGAGACCGCTTCGCCAGCCGCCAGCGCTCTCGCGCCCACCAGCGCTGCCATCCATCGTCCCAGCGGCTGAGACTGGCCAACTGAGGGCGGTGACCAGTCGTGCCAGCGGCTGAGACCGGTCAACTGAGGGCGGTGGCCAGTCGTGCCAGCGGCTGAGACTGGTCAACTGAGGGCGGTGGCCAGTCGTGCCAGCGGCTGAGACCGGTCAACTGAGGGCGGTGGCCAGTCGCACCTTGATGGTGCTCTTGGCGAACTCGAGACCGGCGATGTCATCCCATGTGACGGGCGGTCCGTGGTCCATAATTTCCGATGTGATCAGCTCCACCATGCGCGGCTCGATGTTCCGTAAGCGCTCGTCCAGCAGCGCCTCGACGCCGTCAGCTGATGATGATGTCACCGCCGGTAGCCGACAGCTGAATGGGAAGGGGAGGGGGCGGCGGTTGGTTGCAGTCACGCGTCGAGCATGCAGTTTGAGATGTGTTGG